ATTCTAATAAGATTGGAGTTCAATTTTAAACATTTGAAAATTTTTCTTCCTCATTTCTCCTTAGATCCCTTCTTTATTAAAAAAAAAAAAAAAACCCTATCTAAAAAGAAGTTCACTATAATTTCAAAGAATTTTCATTCAACAAATTTTGAAAAGAATGATCATCCATACCATAATTATGACTATAAAATATTGTTGTTAAGCCGAACATATAAGGGTACATTATATGTTTAATCTCTCAATTATAGAAAATTTTTTATTTTGATCATTTACTTGTGAAAAGTTATAATTTGTCATGAACATTTATAAAATTATTTTTTATCATTCAATCGTGAAGATTAATAAGATATTGACGTGACATTATCTTACGTTTAAAATGTTACATGAAACTATAAATTTAACAAAAAAAGATAAAATTTTAAAATAAAAGAAACAAATTATATTTTTTTATCATTTAATTTTTTGAAAGTTTCTATTTGGTCACTCAACTTTGATAATTTCATAATTTGGTTATTAATGTTTGTGAAATTATTAATAATTTGGTTTTCATTAATAACATCTTACTATCAACATGGTTTATATCGATTTAATCACCAACATTTATAAAATTGAATTTAATAAATGATTTTACTATTTTTGTTACCATACTTTTAATATTTTATTACATAGAATTTAAGATTATAAATTTTCATTGTAATTAAAACCGTTATGAAATATTTCATATTTCTTTTAAATTTTCTAAGCTGACTGGTATAATTTATGTTGGTTCCAAGATCATCTTCTTGTTGATAAAAATGCCTTCATACGATGCTTGAAGTTGACATCAAAACAGAGAATTGATTGCAATATTCTTCAATTAATTAACTTCAAGACGTGTTTATGAAAATAACTTTTTTAGACTTATTTTGTCCTCACAAGACTTTGGGATGCAAAAAGGATAATCGAAATAGTCTATAAGATAAAATGAAACTTTTGTTTGAACTCACTTTGCATTAATGAAGTTTAAACCACTAAACACCCTTAAAGAAAACGAAAATACTAGTTTTAGGCTTGTATTTTCTGCAACAAACGAAAATGCTACGGCAAACTTTGCAGTTTCTTACCTGGAGGAATTCAGAAAAGGATAGGAACAAGTGGACCAGCAGAGAGCAGAAAACCTGAGATGGAAACCACCGCCAACCATATTGCCAAAGTGAACTTCAATGGAGCGTTGAAACCTGCAGAAGCTATTGGAGGCATTATGGTGGTCGTGAGAAACTACATGGGGAAAGTTTTGGGCTCTTTGTCAAAGCATGTAGATGGGGTTAGGGATGCCACGGTGATCGAAGCCTATACTGCAGCAGCAGGAATAAGCTTTGCAAGAGAGTTAGGCCTCACGTCAATCATATTGGAAGGAGATGCCTTTGAGATTATCACCAAGATTAGGTTGCAAACAAAGGATCTATCTGTAGTAGGGAACATTCTGGATAACGTGAAGATTCTGAAGAATAGTTTAATTTTTTCAGGGTGGAACATACAAGACACCATGCAAACGAGGTTGCCCATAAACTAGCTAGACATGCACCGGTCATGCTGGGAGAGTTACACTAGATAGAGGAATACCTTCCCATCATACATTATACCATAATTTTTTAGTGTAATTCTCTTGCTTGATGATTAATAGATTTATTCTCTTCAAAAAAAAAATAATATGACTTCATTTTTTTCATGCGAACATCCATGTAGCATTGAAGTAACAATTTCATCATATTTTATTAATGATGGATGAAAATTTATGAATTAAATATTTTTAAAAATTATCTAAAATATAAATTTTAAATGTCGCGAATGAAAGTAAAATATTACATAAAAAATGAATATATAATGTAATTTACTCAAAAATTTTCAAAAACCAAAATATCCCTAGATTCAACATTATTCCTTACAGCGATCAATTCCATGGTAACAACAACTCAACTGCCCTTGACCTTTCTTCACTTTGTGACAAGGTCGACCCAATTCGCCTCACAACCTCAGAAACTCCAATTAAACCAGTCCAGCCCATCACCTTTTATTAATTGCAAATTAAGCTTTACTCCCTAGGTCCCTATTTGTTTGTCTTACATTAATTTTTTAGGAGTTTAAAAAAAAATTTGATTTTAATGTATTTAATAGTAAATTTTAAATTAAAGTTTTATTATTTTTAATGTCAAAAAATTAAAAAAAATAATAAAAATAATTTTAAAATATAAAAAGTAAGAGTTTTAAATGTTTAAAAAAAGAAATAAGACATAATTTTGAAGCATAAAAAAAAAAAAAGAAAGATAGACAACTAAGATGGAACAGAGAGAGCATTGCTTATCAATTATCTCTTCACAAGATTTAAAGCAATACTCTCGCGTATCGACTGATTTTTGATAGTTGATATATCATTGAAAATGTACTAAGAGTTTATTCGCATAATGTTTTTTAATTAAAATAAATATTAAAATATAGAGAATTTAAGAATAAATTTATTTTTTAAAAAAATGCTCCCTCATTAATCCTCTAGAGCATAAGTGTGGGCCAATAATTTATTAGTGATTAATGGGCGGATACCCAAAAAATTAGAACATAAAGATATATAAGTGACTCATTGAAACATTTTAATTATAGTTTGATGACCAAAATATATATAAAAAATCAAACATAAGTGATTATTAGTTCACTACGTGGTTTACTTTAATGCACCATTTCTTGTGTGGTTGTGCCCTCACAATTAAGGAAAAAAAAAGACAAAAAAGGGGAAAGAATGTTCAGAACAGGAAAGATTATATAAAAATGTTTTGTTTCATAAGCCTTTTAGTTCTCAAGATACCTAGAATTAATATACCCCGCAAGTCAAACAAGTTCATTTGATTCGTAGCATCTCTTTCTAAATAAATAATTAATATTTAGAGAAATTATTTAATACATTATCAATGGAGGTTTTTTAATTTTACAAATAGGATTAACATGATAATATATGTCTTATTTTTTTTAAATTAATTTTTCTATTTTTAAGAAAATCCTAAAATACATATATCACTCTATTAAGAAATTAAAAAATATACTAACAATTATTTGATAATGTTTTTTTTAATATCCTTGCGTATTTCTTTTATATTAAAAAGAGGAGATTCAAACCCCTCACTAAAAAAAATTCATAAATTATTAATGATTTATTTGGATAAATGCTGAGATTGGTTTAGGTGATATTAAAAATAGTCGTAAAAGTGAAATTAATTATTGAAAAAGTGTGATTGAATACTGTAGCGATGATATTAAAATCAATGATGAAATATATGATGCTCCAATTCTATATCAGGAGATTTTGAAAATCTAATATGATATATAAGTAGAGATTTAAATCCAAATTTTTGAAGCATTTTTTGTGAGATAAAATCGTGTACGAGATTTTCGAATCAAAATGAACAATACTTTACAGGTTAAGTATAAGTCCACACAAATGACATCATAGCGATTGCTAATCGAATGGAAGCTAAGTCATACATGGTGAAAGCCACATCTAAAATCCCAACGTCCGGTGTAATTTGATTCTGTGATTCTATTTATACTTTATGTTAAATTTAACAGGGATGTCAAACTTTAGTGAAAGAAATTTATGATACTTCAATCTCATATAGAGAGATTCTAAAAATCCATTGTGATACATAAGTAGAAACTTAAATCGAAATTTAAGAGATCTCTTTTATGGGATAAAATTATAAGATTTTTAAGTCAAAATAAATAATATCTCTCAAATTAGGTGCGGGTCTTCACAGAGTATGTGTTTGGATGCAAACATAGTGGTAACAATGAGATTTAATGTTGTGAGATGATAAAATGACTATTAAGAATATAAATTAAAATCTATATGTAATAAAAATTTTAAATTATTTAATATTTAAAAAATAAATAAAAATATTTTTATATCATTAATAATAATTAAATAGTTAACAAGAATAAATAATTTGAAAATACTTAAAGTAAAAAATTAATAAATAAAATATAAACAATATAAATTTATTTATCACTTAATTAATAATTAAAAAGGCAACAAAATTAAAAAAAAAAAAAAAGAAGAAGAAGATAAAGGGGCAAAAATGTAATAAAACAACAATAAAAAATCCAGAAGCTCCACCGGTGTTCAAAATTTTATATCCAGTCGCGTTCAAAAGCATGGAGAATGACATTCAAACGGATGTCCAGCACATTTTTAGGTGCGACCACGGCATCAGTAGAATCCAAACGAGGCCTAACATAATTATAGGTATTTATGGATGTGAGAAAGTCCGCTGGCACTTTCTAGCCTTAACAACTGACTTCGAATAGTCTTTGGTCAAGGTTCTCCGATCAATTAAATCAAATTTGATTGGATTTTTTTATAATATATAATATTATAGATATTCAAAATCTATTTAAATTTGAATAGATTATTTTTATTTTTTAATCAAATTTTATAAGTTCGATTCATTTTATTAATTTTTTATATTTATATTTATATTTATATTTATATAAATTTAAATATAAAATAATTATTTTTATTTTATAAAAATTTAAAATATATAAAAAAATTAATAAAAATATATAATTTTATTTGAATATAATATTTTCAATTTTTTATTTAATAAAAATATTTAATATTCAAACTTAAACCAAATTAAATAAAAAAAATTCAAATCAAATCATATTCTACATTTTGAATAGATTTTTCTCACCTTTGAATAGATTTTTCTCACCTCTACTGTTCACACTTAATAGTTGTTACATTAAGTGAGATAAATGATGTCAATAACGTTGTTTCAGCACGAAATACGCAATAGTTTTGTAGCCATGTCTCTTCCATTATCTATGGAAATGTGAATTTTATTGGAATATAGTTAATTCTTTTGCTAAGGTCTACGATCTTGAGTCTTGACGACAAAGACTTGATAGTTTCATTTCAACACGCGGTGTGGCTGAAAGAAACTGTCTATAAAAGATCACTTCATCAGCGCTCATTCTCTTTTCTTATTGAGAAAGTATTATGGGTTTCCCTTTGTATCTCTCCGTTTCAATAAGCTTGCTTTATTTTCTCTTCCTGTTTTTTCTTGGTTCTTCGGTACAGCCATTGTGCCACCCTGTTGAACTCTCAGCATTGTTGCAGTTCAAGGAAAGCTTTGTCATCATTAACTCTAGTTCTCATGGTTATCCCAAAACTGAATCGTGGAACGTTCAGGAGAAAAGTGGCGACTGCTGTTCTTGGAAGGGGGTGGAGTGTGACAATAGCACTGGTCATGTAATCGGCCTTGACCTTAGTAGCAGTTATCTCTATGGTTCAATCAATTCCAACAGCAGCCTCTTCCGTCTTTTTCACCTTCAATGGCTTAATCTCGCAGACAATGTTTTCAATAATTCTAAAATTCCTTCAGAGATAAGGAACCTGTCAAGACTGACATTCCTTGATCTCTCTTACTCCAACTTTTCCGGTCAAGTACCGTCAGAAATCTTAGAGCTGTCAGAATTAGAGCTCCTTGATCTGTCAGGGAACTCATTGAAGCTTCGAAAGCCAGGGTTGAGGCCTCTGCTTGAGAAGTTAACCAACCTTAAAGTACTCGATCTTAGTGATGTGAGAATATCTTCTTCCATACCTAATAATATCTCACCAAAGTTTTCTTCATTGTCAGCTTTAATTTTATCAAATTGTGACTTGCGTGGTGAGTCTCCTATTGGAATTTTTGAGTTACCCTGGCTTCGGTTGATTAATCTGCAGTCCAATCCGGAACTTACTGGATATTTACCTGTTATTCAAGCCAACCACCCTCTTTTGAAATTATCCCTTGCAAACACAAGTTTTTTTGGACGGTTGCCAGAATCAATCGGAAACTTGAAGTCCTTGGAATATTTGGACATCAAATACTGCAAATTTTCTGGGAAGCTGCCATACTCACTTGGTAACCTTACTCAACTCAGATATCTTGATCTGTCTTTTAACAACTTTTTGGGACCTATTCATTTCTCTGTTGGAAGACTAAACCAGCTTTTGGGTCTGGACTTCTCTTATAACAATTTTTCCGAAGATATCCCTTCTTCCTTGGCCAATCTTACCCGACTTGTTTATCTATCTCTTGCCACCAACAATTTCAACCATGGAACCTTGTCTTGGCTCGGTACGCAAACCAATCTAGCTTATTTGGACCTAACAAACACCAGTTTATCAGGTAAGATCACATCTCCTCTCAAAAATTTGACCCAAATTACTTGTTTAGTTATCTTACGTACAAATATCCATTGGTGATTCGAAGCTAAATCGCGTTCTTAACCTTTCAAATAATTCACTGACAGGAGAAATTTCGCCAATGATATGCAATCTGTCTTGTCTTACTCTCTTGAATTTGTCCAATAACAATTTGAGCGGATTGCTTCCTCCATGTTTTGGAGACCTCAGCAAAAGTCTGAATGTACTCCATCTTCAAAATAATCACTTCACAGGTGCAATTCCTCAAGCAAATAAAATGGGATGTGAGTTGAAGGCGATAGACTTAAGTCAAAATCAGTTTCAAGGAAAGATACCAAGGTCACTGGTCAATTGTACCATGCTAGAGGCTGTTCACCTCGAATACAATCAAATAAATGATAGCTTCCCCTCTTGGTTGGGTACACTTCCAGAACTCAAGATTCTAATTTTGAGATCTAATGGACTCCATGGTGTGATTGGGAAACCTCAAACCAAATTTCATTTCCCTAAGTTGCAAATCATCGACCTCTCTAACAATTGTTTAACAGGTAATTTACCATTTGGGTACTTCAATACTTGGAATTCCATGAAAGTAGCCACAGCAAGCAGCTTGTCATACATTGGAGTAATCCTAAATTTCGACTTTTATTTTGTTTTACCCAATCAAGTCCAAGATTTTCACGTCCGTTGCTCAGTCAAATTGACAAATAAAGGCCTGGAACTTGAATACCGGCATATTCCAGGATCCTTGACAGCCATCGATCTTTCGAACAACATGCTCAGTGGTGAAATCCCAGAAGCCATTGGGAATTTAAAGGCTCTTAAGGTACTTAACCTTTCCATTAACGCTTTTGTTGGTCATATCCCATCATGCTTGGGGAATCTAATACAACTAGAATCTTTAGACCTTTCTCAAAATAATCTCTCTGGAGAAATCCCTCAACAATTGACACAACTTACATTCCTGGCATTCTTCAATGTTTCTCATAACAACCTCCAAGGGCCCATACCTCAAGGAACACAGTTTAGCACATTTGCTACTAATTCCTTTGATGCAGATTCAGGGTTATGTGGAAGCCCTTTATCAATAAAATGTGGAATTCCTGAAGCCCCATTGCCACCTTTAAACTCTGGAGAAGGCGAAGGCATTGGCAGTGTGTTTGAGTTTGGCTGGGAAGTAGTAGCCATAGGATATGGAGCTGGACTAATAATAGGAATGGTTGTTGGCTCCAACTTTATCTTTAAGCCGCTAGTGAACATGAATGTTTTCGGAATTGTCTTTAGAAAGAGGCGGCCTAGAAGAATTGAGAATAGGAGGCATAGGTTTTGAATCTTGTTAGGTAAAAATGGTCTTTGAGTTCTTAAGTTCTTGTTTATTTATCTTGGACGGTGGATTCCGCCAGCAAAGTTAATAGATAATAGTTCTTATTTCTTTTTAAAGTAGAATGTAGTAGGGAGATAGAATAAAGGTTGTAAATATGTCATCATATGTCACTTTCTAAAAGTCAAGTCTTAAATTTTATTCTAAAATTATCTTTTGAATTGTTGAATTTAGGCCTTCTACTTGCATATTTTTGTAATTAATGCCAAGTTAAATGTTTGAGATATTCATATCTATAATGTTTGAGATATTCATATCTAAATTTTTTTAATTATCTATTTAAATTTAGTATTATCATATGAATCTGTATCCAATTAAATAAACATTATTTGTTAAATATTGAAACCCATTAAAATATCTTTTTACTTGAGTTTTAAATTTAAGTTCACTTTTAATACATAATAAATAAAAGTTGTTGCTAAGCTTCAAATATATCCACAAATATAAAATTTTACATATTTTTATATGGAACTGGATAATAAATTTAGATATTTGATATTATCCGTTAAAAAACTTAAACAGATTCGGATATTAAATAATCAAGAGGTATTATTTGAAATCCATATGAATATGTCACAAATAATAAATCTATCATCTAAATTTATTAATTATCTATTTATAAGTATTTGAATATAATATAATCATAAAATAATCATTTACTTACTATCAATTGCCATCCTTAAACTCACAAATGAATAACACCTTTATGGACTTAGGTCAGTCCAAATTTTGCCTTTTAAGGCCTATAAACCCATGTAATTTCCTAAAATTTTTACAAGATGTGAAATATATAAAACAATCCAAACATATACTTGAGAATTTCGTTTTATAATCTCTTTAAGCTAATTTACTATAAATTTTTAAATTTAATTTGAAGAAAATGATCCAATATTTTTCATTCTAATTTCTTTACCAAATTTGGATATTTAAAATTTATTTATGAGTGATATATAAAATTGGGCCAATTAATTAAAATCCATTAGTTATACTAGTACTTTAAATATAGTATGTATAATTAAGTATATGGGCCAATTTTAAATTTTAAATTAATTTTTTATATTTTTAATTGTCAGGAATTGAATCTTAATCAATACAATAAAAAATTCAGTACTTTGTTAACAATGTTGATTAATGGGTTTGTGTAGTATTATAATTGATTATTTAATTTTTTTATTATATTGTAGTTTTCTATGAGCTTGTAATTGTATGGTATTAACTGAATTTATTTGATTTTATTAATTCTAAATATATTAAGTATTAAATGTCCAAATAGTTTACCACAATAAAAAGAAGAATCCAAGTGTTAAAATTACGTGAAATCAATTGAGAAATTACTACTCATATACCGAATTCATCCATAGAACAACCAAGGTAATTTATATGTCATAGACTTAAAAAAAAAAAGGAATAAGAAGTTGTTAGCGAGGGTTTTGGTTTTTAGTGGCATTTTTTTAACAGTTTAGCGGCGTTTATTAACGCCATTATAAGGTTGTGGCGTTTGCGAAAAAATGCCACATAGAATGCCATCTATATATGCGTCACGATAAATAACGACGTTTTCAAAAAAATGACTCAATATCAATGGTGTTTGTATGTGAAGTATCGTCATTTTAGTAGCGTTTATATCTTAGAGACGCTGCTATTTCAGTGGCATTTTTATGAGAAAAATGTCGTTCTATTAACGACGTTTGTAACAAAAAATACCGCTACTTTACATGACGATTGAATCTGAAAATGCCTCAATATTTGCAACATTTGTATATTTTAGGTGCCGCTAATTCAGTGGCGTTGTTATGAGAAAAACGTCGCTGCTTTAGTAGCATTTCTATAAAAAATGCCACCAAACTAGCGGCGTTTGCTGAAAACAGCGCCGCTACTACTAGTGACATTTTATGCTACAAATGCCACTAAATTATTCATTTAATGGCATTGGCCAATGCAAATGCCGTCATTATGTAAAAATATTTTTTTTTACAATTTTTATAATAATTTTATTTTCAATAAAGAGCTTAAATTCAGAAACTGAAATTATATTAACTTCATTTACGTTTAAATATACATCTAATTAATACAAAGTTTAATAATTAGTATAATAACATTCAAATATTATAAATACATTAGCCAAATAATAAATTAAAATGTAGGAAATGGATGACTACATACATTTTGCTGGCTCCCAATTGATGAAGAAAAATTTTCACCTTGGTCACTAGCGTGCTCAACAACCTATTGAATAATACCATACAATTTTTAACACTTCATTGTATGCTTATTTTTTATTTAAAAATTTTAATATTTACTAAATATAATACCTAAGTTGATGGAGCACTAAGATCATTTTCTGAAAATTGTTGTTGCACAAAATTCATAAGATGATCGAATTGATCATGCAACTGTTGAATTTTGCACATTCTAGCTCTATTCTAGTACGTTTTTCTTCAATTTTGGCATGCTTCTGTTCTCTTTCTGCTTTCATTTGCTGAAAACGTTGTTGCATAGTTTACAACTCTCCTCTCAATATTGAAATATCTCATGAAGATTGACTTGCCGAGAGTGTAAATTACGGAGAGTTATGTCCATAGTAGGCAAATGGTGTTGGACCCAATCCAAGGCCTCGAACTCGTCCATGCCTTTCTTTTTCAGTAACTTCTATGAATATCCAAATTTTCATTTCTTGCATGTTGAGAGAACCTTCAGATGCTACTTCAATCTTAGCAGTCATTTTCTCTTTCGTTTTATCATGTGAATTTGTCATAGACAACAATCAAGTTTAATGACTAATTGATTATATGTTAAAAACGGTTAATATTTACTTTATGTTAAAATAGATGATACAAATTATCATAATTTTTTATGTTTCGACATTATGTAAGATCCATCTTTTTTATGTGTGTTACGCGAAAAAGTTTCACACGTTCAATTGTACCGCCCATCTCATTTTCCTATACAAAAACATATGTTATTTGATAGGATACATATCAACCGTAACTTATTTATGCATATCAATCATGTCAATCAAGTATTAAAATTTCGAATAACTTTAATCTCCGTTATTTATATTTTGACCCTATAATAACACAATAGTCTTAAATATACGTAAAAAAAAAAATACATTTTGGGCTTTCACACATATCGATCATGAAAACCATATTCAATTATTTTCTCTCGGTTTAATATGAAGGATTGAAGTCATTCAATATGTTGAAAGGCATCCAAAATTTATTTGTATATTTGCCTTTTATATGCAAAAATATTCCCAAACAAAGATAACTAACAACTTTTTCTCTCATATCAACCATAGAAACCAATTTCAATCAATCAGACAAGCTTAATATCAAGTATTGAAGGTATCAAAACTATTAAAAATCAACAATAACAACAACAAGATAATAAAAGTGTAAATATACGTAAATAGTAATCTTTCATACATATTATCTGTGTAACTAAGTTCAAAACTTTCGATAAGTTTAATGTCATGTATTGAAACAATCAAATTTATTAAAACAGAACAATAAATGTTAATTTCCATATTTACCTTTCGACGGCAGAAAAAGTTCATTAATTGTAATAAGTTAATTATCATAAACTTATGATTTCTTTTTACTTTTTTACAAAACTTTTTGATCCACTTGTATGGCTATATTTTTGTTGCTTTCTGCTACCAATCCCAATATGTTCTCTTTCCTGTCATAAAAAATAATTGCCTATATGATAGAAATACAAATATTATCAACTTAAACCATCAAACACTTTCATCATCTTATTCTATTATACAAAATTATAAACTACTACCTCTTTTTTTTTTTTTATAAACCAAAATCTAACTAGTTATTCATATTGCCACCTACTCACATTACGGGGTAGATTTTGCATCATCGCCTCTACAGTTCTATTTCGATCGAAATACTTATTCTTCAAACTATGTTTATAATCTTTCCATTTTTTTCCTAAGGACTTAAGCACATATGAAGTTAGTATTTCAAGTACAAATCTTAACTGTAATAATACAATAAGAAAAGTTTGAATAAGTAAACAAAAGGTAAAATAAAAAATTTGAATATATCTAATTAATTATACTAATACCTAAATAAAGTTTAACGCATCGGCCTTAACTGCTTCTGGAATATTATGCCATGTTTCATAATGAATAAGCAATTTCATTCCATTACGGGCTAGCGTGCCTAGAAATCCAGTCAATAGTTGAGCCTCTTCACCAATTGGTTGCCTATTAGAGTTTGTAGACACTACAATACGCATATTAGGAGGTAGTGCAAACAATTCCTTCAAAGTTGTCCGACCTCTGGTCTTCCGTTGACCATTGTTATCAACTGCAACAAACATATAATATATTTGTAAAATCGTAATACTTTTATGATTATACTCGAATTCTAAAATTGGAGTATATCATACCTACATTCTAATTTAAAGTATAATCAATTGATGGGGTACTATCTAAACTTGGACCTCCCGTATTACCTGATCCAATATCAGTTGAAGGGTTAGAAGTGACAGAGTTAGATCCGACAGTACGTTTATTTCCTTCCAAAGGATTCAGTCCATCGCCAATATCTATAGATGCCGCAGACGGTTCTGAACTAATATCTCTGATATGTTTTCCTTTCAACCTACTTCTCCGTATTGTAGCTTACCTACATCATAAAAGCGAATATAGAAAAAAAATTTAGTTCAGAAGATATATAAAGACATTTTCAATTTAAGAAATCAAAACCTATGATATATAAAGAATATATCGATTTAATTAAATCAAAATAATATGTATGATTTAGAAGACAATCATTAAACAATAGTGAATGTGACATTATTTACATACTATTATTTACTACGTTATGTCTTAAACACTTGAATTACAAATTATAGGTGCACGAGATCATGGTTTGTAAATATCTTCAGTAACATCTTTGCAGACTACTGAGCATTGGTACTGGAGATATTCTCATCCAAGTTTTATTCAGCAAAAGAATAACATTTAGTTCCATGTTCAACATCATCTTTGGTATCTAACCCCATATCAAATAAGTCTCTAAGTGTGTTTCGAAGAACAACAAACCAACCTAATTCTTTTGGATCTTCAGAGTAAAGTACTTGTTTGACTTGAGATGAAAATACATAAGGTTCATTGATGAGGTGTTGTCCTGTGTGAATTAATCGAAAAAAATTAACA